TTTCCCCCCCCCCCCCGGGGGGGGGGGGGGGGTGTGTAGTTTGTTGCATTGTTGCCCATGACCAGCTGCTTTGAGAGTATGCACGGCTAGATATCCAACTGAGATAGTTGAGTTTTGACTTTTCAACTAAAGTGATGGGCCATCCTTTGATGGTAGGAAACATCCCTATGGTGGGCCATAATAAGTGTTTATGGATGGAATTCTAGTTGTTGTCAAATTTTCTTCTCATTGTCAATCGGGTTAAAAGCTTGAACTCGAGGATTCAAGACCCTCATGTTGAATAAGATGATGTCGTTCTGTCAAAGCAAAGGTTGTAAAGTGTTTCGTAGGTTGGAGTTTTGTGAGGTGGTGTGGTCTGCCTAGAGTACATTGTGGAGCTCTTCAACCCATAACCCCCTGTCTTCTCAAGATGATTTTTCAACCTTTTTAAGTATGGTCTAATTCATCAGTTCTATTTGCCCTTTTGTTTGAGGATGAGCTATAGATGTGTGCACCAGACAGATGTAAAGACCTTCTTAGAAAATTGAGTCACATTATTAGTGATAATATTTTTACGGATCCTAAAATGGCATACAACATTCTTCCAAACAAATTATTTAGCATTGAATTCAATGATTTTGACAAGCAGATTGGATTCCACCTACTTAGTTAATAGTTAAGATGTTGAACTTTTGTTATCTGGTGGCCATCTAAAATGATCTCATGTTGTCTACACCACACTGGGTGAAAAACCAAGGGCTTAGAAGAGACGTGAGTTCAACTAACTGTGCATGAGAGAGGTTGGAGTGCAGTTGATAGCTTTGGAATTTTTGTGTGAATTTCAATGCACCCTCCTTAATTATAGGCTAATAAATCCACTACCTCGCCATCTTGAGGGCAAAAGCTCTACCTTCAAGTTTCTCCCCATATATCATATAATGAACATCATGTAAAGCGTAGGCAACTTCAGATGGTGGAAGAAATTTAAGGTACAAACCAAAAAATACCTTCATCTATAGTTCATCCATGATGATGATGAAGTTGGTCACCATATAATGAAGGTAAACTAATATAGTAACATCATTAGAAAACGTTCCATCTCCAGTTGGTCACCATATAATGGAAGATCTTTATCTGAATAATCAGATACGACAATTG